CAGTGCCAGATCTGGTTATGGCTGGGCCCAAGCGAGCGATTGTGGGGTTAATTGGGCTAATTGAGGTGAATTAATTCAGGCCAGTTGAGTGAATTGAGGTTAATTTGGGTTCTCAGGGCCTGGCAGGGGCTGCCCAGGGCAGTGGGGGAGTCCCCATCCCTGCAGGGGTTCACAAACCACGTGGATGTGGCACTTGGGGCCATGGTTTGGTGGTGGCCAGGGCATGGTTGGACTCGATGATCTCAAAGGGCTTTTCCACCCAAACGATGCTGTGATTTGATGATCTTCCTCCCTGACCCACCTCAACCCCTCCCTTCTGTTCCTTTCGCCAGTCTCCAAAACCATCCCACGATAACTTTGTACACTCCTCACATTCCCTCGTGGATGTGGCACTTGGGGCCATGGTTTGGTGGTGGCCAGGGCATGGTTGGACTCGATGATCTCAAAGGGCTTTTCCACCCAAACGATGCTGTGATTTGATGATCTTCCTCCCTGACCCACCTCAACCCCTCCCTTCTGTTCCTTTCGCCAGTCTCCAAAACCATCCCACGATAACTTTGTACACTCCTCACATTCCCTTGTTTGTTCTCATGATTCCCCCAGGCATCCCACAGTAAATCCCACCCTCTGATGCCATCGTGTCCCCTTGTGAGAGTTTCTTCTGTGGAGCCTTTAGCACCAGGGCAAAGCAGACGTTGCTGTTCACCTCTGGTGGTCTTCGGAGGGGTTATGTTGTGGGGGTGCCCACCCTGTCACCTCCATTCTGATGATTTCTTGGTCTGTTCTGAGCAGCCCCAGCCAGACAGAAACCTGTACAGAAACAGCGGTGGGGATGAGCCAAGGAGTGCCCTGCTTTGCCTTGGTTTATGCTTTTCCTTTCACCCTCAGGAGTTCATTCTGTCGTGCCTGACCCTCAACCCAGACAAGCGACCGACAGCCAACAACCTCCTCTTCCACCGCGTGCTCTTTGAGGTCCATTCCCTCAAGCTGCTGGCAGCGCACTGCTTCATCAACAACCAGTGTGAGTGACCGTGACGCCACGCTGCCACGTTTGGGCTTGTGTGGCTGCTCCAGCAGAGCCGGGGGTGCGGGAGAGCCTGGGGAGAAAGGCTGTGACCTTGGGGCAGGTCCAGAGGAGGCCATGGAGATGCTGAGGGGCTGGAGCAGCTCTGCTATGGGGACGGCTGAGAGAGTTGGGGTTGTTCAGCCTGGAGAAGGCTGTGGGGAGACCTTAGAGCACCTTCCAGGACCTGAAGGGGACAGGAAAGCTGGGGAGGGACTTTTGACAAGGGATGGAGTGATGGGACCAGGGGAGATGGCTTTAGACTGGAATTTGGGAGATTTAAATGAGATATTAGGGAGAAATTCCTGGCTGTGAGGTGGTGAGGCCCTGTCCCAGGTTGCCCAGAGAAGCTGTGGGTGCCCCCTCCCTGGCAGTTCCCAAGGCCAGGTTGGATGGGTCTTGGAGCAGCCTGGGCTGTTTTTGGGGGTCCCAGCCCATGGGGGTTGGACTGTGGGGTTTGAGGACCCTTCAACCCAAACCCGCCTGTGGCTCCGTGATTCCCTGGGGTCTGTGTTGCAGGGTCCATGTTGCAGGGTCTCCCAGCTGACTTTCTCAGCTCCCTTTCTGCCTTTCCCTAGATCTGATGCCAGAGAATGTGGTGGAGGAGAAGATAAAGGAACTGGACCTCAACATGGTGATGGCAGAGATCCGGAGAGAGGGTCGGCCAGGAGCGCAGTGGAGGTGAGGATGGGCAGAGCAGCCGTAGCCAAAGAGCCCAGGGCTTGCATCCCGCCTGGTGACCCTGGCGCGGTGGCACCGCAGCCCTTTGCACGCTCTTCTCTCCTGCCGCTCCGTCACCTTCCTGCACTGCTTCTCTCCCAGGTACTCTGAGGTCTCCTTCCTTGAGCTCGACAAATTCCTGGAAGACGTCAGGTGGGTTGTGGGCACATCCCCTTCACTCACCCCATTCATGGCCCTGTGCTGAGTTCTCCTCTCCACAACAGCCACCTCCGTCTGAATTCCTTGCCCCTCTGGGTGTTGTCTGGGAGGGTGCAGCCATTCTGGGCCATGCCGAGAAGCACAGTAACCCTTCAAACCACAGACAGTTGAGTGAGCACCCTCCTTCAGCTCCGGGTACAGAAACAGCCCCGACAGCACACGTGGAGGTGGTGCTGGTGACCCCCAACGTGTCCACCCAGCTCTGGTCCTTAGCGTCCCTGTGCCCAGAGCTCCCTGGGCAGCGTGGAGCCGGGGTCAGGGACGGTGCTGCAGCACACACACAGCGTCCCAGTAGCATTCGGTCGTGTGTGATCCCCCGGGGTGAGCAGACCTGGGCGGCAGTGACAGGAGCCGTTTGTCTTCCCTCTGTGTCTGCACCAGGAATGGGATTTACCCCCTGATGAACTTCGCTGTTTCCAGACCCCACGCCCTCCCACGAGCCCTCTCCCAGCCCCAGGAGGACCCTCAGAAAGCCAAGACTCCCACGCCAGAGCCCTTTGATGTGGAGACCAGGAAGGTAAGGTCAGACCCTGGTGGGGGTAGGCGGACGGTCTCCATTCCTGACACCGTTGTGCAGGGACACCTCTCCCTTTATCCATGCACTGACCCCAGCCCAGGTGAGTGTTGTTCTCACTGCATTGGATGCCCCAGGACTGCGATGGTCCCTGTGGCCAGAGCGAGCGAGGTCCATTTCACCCGAGACCTGGAGCAGCCCCATTGCCGCTGGTTCTTTGGCTCTGCCTTCTGCACTTTGGTCGCAATAACCCCATGCA